CTCCGCGCGCAGGTTAGAACCTGCGTGGTTGTGAACCCGCGTGTGTACCTCCAAGGGCAGGGGGTGGCAGGTCCGCGCCAGCCGGGGACGGGACCCGAGTGAGTGGAAGGGTGCACGCCGGCAGATCTGGGTCCGCTCCTAGTGAGGACGCACAGGCGTGTTTGTCCGCTAGGTGAGACCGCGGAGCACCGACACCAGGTCACCAGATAGCTGGTCAGCTTCTTCAGTCCAAGTCACCCTGCGTCTCCATGAGGCTCAGTATCGCCGTGCAACAGGAGCGATCTGAACAGGAGGCTCATCCATCATATTCCCGCTGTACCCCACCGTGACTCCTAACACACGGACAGAGATGACTAGAATTGTAAGGGTCCCGTCCGCGCCTCTGTGCATCCGGAAAAGTCGGGAACCCGCGCGAAGCGGTCTCTACGTTTTGCCTGCCTTATTATTTCAGAGGCGCGCACAGGTCCTTTAGCAAAGCAGAAGTTTGAGGTTGTGTGTGGGAAAGGGTGGCCCTGTCTCCCCCGACAACCCCTCTTATACCCCCGAACCTTGGGGTTAAGATGGAGAAATAGAACACAGAGGCGTTGGTGGCGCGAAGCTTTCACTAAGGGCTTCAGAGGAGACCAGCCTTGTGCAGGCCAGCAGATTTTGGGTGTGTAGACGCGAGGGTGTTGAGGGTGTCCAGGGCCTTCTATTGGACTGCGACTAACTACTAACCTTTATTTAATGCTATTTTTGGGGGGAGTAGCAGGAGGAAGAAGGGGGTAGGCAGAGAGTGTAATGGAGAAGAGTCTCCCCTCCCCCACAGGCCTGTGACCACAGGACAGGGGCAGATAGCATTTCTGCCTCCCTGCCCATGTTCTTGATAGGACGGTTAGGTTTCCTGACCTGTCACATCCATCCGTCAGGGGTTTCCTGGGGAAAGCAGTTCTCAGCTTGTAAGCAGCTCCATGTGGAGGGAGACTTCTGCTCCACAGGCATTGAGCAGGCAGCCCCAGGGATGGGTGGGTGTGCCTTCAGGGCACCGGTCAGGATGCCCAGAATCCAGGCCTACTCTGGTTCCCTTTCACAGTAAGAGAGGAGCCTCAGGAACCGGTGCATCTAATTCTCTTTACCCCTCCCCCAAGCTAAAAGGAAAAAGTTCTGCTCATCTCTGCCTTGTATGATTTGAAAGCATCCACTGGAACATCTTTTTTTTTTTTCTTCTTAGAAAATTAAGAGGTATAAGTTGTACGGTGCAATGTTTAATCTTATCTACAAAATTGTAAAACTATTACCAATATCTAATTCCAGGACATTTTTATCACACCCAAACATATCTTATACTTGATGCTAAATGAGAAAATATTTCCATGTCTCAGTACAGACTCCTTCAACTGTGGTGGTATGTGAATCACCTGGAGATCTTGTTAAAGAGCAGGTTCTGATTCAGCAGGTCTTAGGTACAGACCGAAATTGTGCATTTCTAACAATCTCTCAGATGATGTCAAGACTGCTAGCCCAGGGACCTCATTCTGAATAGCAAGTAGATATAAGCTGAGAAAAAAAAATGATAATAGAAAGAACAATAAATCAACCCGGATATTCTGGATGCAGCTATTTTCAAAGTCTATGTTTGAAAATATGGAATGTACATCTTAATTGACAGAGACCTGAGATCCACCAAGACAGAGGGCTTTATGTTTGGCAGCAGTAATTTGCTGGCTAAATTAAGTGGCTTAAAGTGCCTTTAAAAAAATTACTGTCACATGAACAAAATCTTTTCTGTTTTATTTTTATCAACTGATCCCCCTATAACCATTTACTACTGTGTCTGTGGGAAAAATGATTTGTTTCAAATACGTGCAGTCATTTATTAATAGTGAGAGAGGTTAAATAAAGTAATAATTCCAAGTTCTGAAAACTTTCTCCAGTGCTTTCTTCAAATGTGACTAACTGCCTAACTGATTGGTATGGTTCTTTGCATTTTCTACTATTTGGAGAACAGGTATTTTTCTGCTTTACTTTAGGAATCCCAGACCTCTCTTAGAACTAAGCAGCACAGAGACAAGCAAAAATGTTTTAATGTGTTTTCAGTGTGCACCCTCTGTATCAAATTGGAGGTACTGTAATAAATATGAGAGTGCTCCATGCTGGGCCAGCAGGTAGCATGGAGATTAAGATGCTATCTCCCGCTTGGCTGATTTCACAGTCCAAGTCCTGAATGTAGTGACCTAAAAATCATGCCCCAAATCCTGAGAGACAACTGGAAGAGAAGGGATTGCGGTGTGGGCATCCCCATTGAGGTAATTTCTCACTCTCCCCTCTTTTTCTGTCTCTCTCTGGAAAGTGCAACATCCTTTAGCAAGAAACAAATAAACACACAAGCAAACAAAATACTAAGAGTGAGCCATCCTAGAATTAGAGTTTGGTCTTATCTACAGCTATTATTTCTAAAAGGTTTGACAGTTACTTTTCACTCACTGTTTTCTCTGGTAAGGTATTTTTTTTTTCCAGTTGCATAATCAAGTAACTGAATTTTAAAAATAATTGGGGTGGGTGGAAAAAAATTAATTGCCAGAGGGCATATATGCTAGAGAGAGGGAGAGAGAGAGAGAGAGAGAGAGAGAAAGAGAGGGGAATCTACTCATAATGTATTTTGATATATAGGTTATATATGTATAATTTACAGGAACTATGGCTTTTCTCTTACATAAAAGGTTTTCCATTTAAATGTTTACTTACTCTTTAGTTATTAATACAGTGTTTTATACACAGAGTTGATGTGCTATTGCTGATATTGTCTCTGTAAACATGGATATGGACAAAACACCCTTAAAGGGGAACATACTGACTTGCAGTCTTAGAAGAAACTCAAAGAGATCCTTAATTCTATCCCTTCTTTCACATGATGAGAACAAAAATGATTTTTTTGTGTGTGAATAGGTCATGTATTCTGTTATGGTCTGGATAACGGTTTGTTTCTCAAAGGTTCATGTTCTGGAAGCTGGGTTCCCAGTGGCTTTGGGAAGTAGTGAGACCTTTCAGAGGCAAAGCTTAATGGGAAGTCTCTATACAATTGGTTAGGTACATAGGTGGGATAAACAAAGTTTAGATTGAGTACCAACTCAGGCCTATGCATCATATTAAATTATTACATGCTTGTTATCTCTCCCTCATTTTACAAATACACTTACTCAAACACGTTACACTTATTTATTCACTTATCACTTTGCCCCTACTGGACTGTAAGTCTCCAGAGGTAAGGCTGTACTTCATACCTGACACTCAGCAAAGTGCCTAGCAAAGAGGTGGTATTAGTTAATTTATTCTTCAGCAAAAACATGTCCTTCCTCCTCAGTATTTATTCTGATAAGGAATAAAGTGATGTCATCTCCATTAGTAAGATAGCATCTGGATCCTCTTAGTTAGTAGAAGAGTGAATGTCCACATATAAAAAGATACACATAGCTTATATTCCAGCTGCCTGTCACTAAGATATGTCTTCTTCTGGGGAATCTGTCATGATCACTACCACAGCCACTTCATCACTCTTCTTTTAGCTCTCCAATTCTAAGCTCTTCCTTTAAAGATCACTATGTACAACTGAGATGAGGTTGTATCTTTACCAGGACCTATTTAACACTCAGGGGTGGGGCCGGCAGGTGGCGTGGTGGTTAAAGGCTCTGGACTCCCGCATGGCTGACTGTGGTTCAAATCCTAGACGTGGTGGCTTGCTTTCTCACTTTCTCTCTCTCTCTTTCTGTCTCTCTTTGATAAAACTGGAAAATAATAATAATAAATAAATAAAGTTAATTTTAAAACACTCAGATAACCAAAGAAAATAATAGAGAAAACTGATAACTGGCTGTAACTGCTCTTCAAACTCATTTATGGAGTCTCCTAAAGACTGACCGTGTTTAACACGAAGCTTCATCCACGAACAGTGAGCCCTCTTCAGATCATCCTCTATCAATCTAACCCTTCATAGTCCTAGACCAGACAGAGGAAGGATCGCTCCCTTTCTTTCTTCACTGTAAGATCTGCCTTTCAAACTCCATTTTCAAAAGCATCTTTTTCTTTCCTGAATGATGGACATTAGGTATATCCATTCCTTTAAGCAAAGACCTACCACTTACCCCAGAAGTGTGGTTTCGCTTTCTGATCTGAAAGGGGCAATCACATCAAAACATGACAGCCCAACAGAAGTATTTGGGATTTCCAATAAAAGCAAAGGGCCTATTTTTTTTAATAGGATATACTTATCAAGTGATAAAATCAGTCAAAGGGAACATGTGTGATAGCATGATGTCTGCTATATATGCAGTCATTAAAATTGAGAGAATCCCAGTATCTATTGGGTTGTTGGAAAAGTCATGATGTATTTATTTCTATGCAAAAACACATCATGACTTTTTGGATAACCCAATATTAAGTCATTTGAAATAACATCTATAACCAGAAACCCAAGCTCTAGACCTTGATTAAAAGTTTGCAGTGTGGAAGCTGCTCCCCAGGGGAAAAGCAAGTGTTAAGACCACCTTGGTTCTGGTTCTCCTTCTTCATTGAGGATCAATTTCTC